TTCTTAGTGATTAAATTACTTTATGGTGGATATTGAGATTGATGGCATATTCATGCAAGATTTAAATATGTCTGTGAATGACACCTAAACCCTACTCACAAATTGGCTAGGTTATAACAAAACAAAGAGAAAAGGGTTGGGTGATTTCTGTAAATAGTAGAATTATAAGTCCTAAAAAATACCTCTCAACCCTGTATATATAGGGTTAGGAGCTCTAAATGAGAAGCTACACCAAAGAAATGATAAAGTAATACATGATTTGACTATTACAAACACTTGAATAAGATTGATGATTACATGAGGACATCCACCTCTGATGTGGCCTTGGGACACCTTCGATGAGTGTGTTGAATGCCTTCGGTGAGTGTGTTGGACGCCTTTGATGAATGATATGAACGAGTCATTAGGTTGGATAGGCATAGTCGCCATTGTTGAATGGGTGTATATATGCTTCTCAAGCTGGCTGAATGGAGGCGGGTCCTCCCCTGGAGCGAGTGACCCCCTTGGATAAGTTCTTATGGGGGGTGTACAATTCCTTTGAATTGATGTTCCTTAGTAGTTGTTATCATATATTATTATATTGTTGGTCTAGTAAGCCACATTGTTTTGATCTATATGGTTAGAGGGACAGCAATTTGATTAGCTGCTCTTGTAGATTGACAATTATTTCATTCAACATCATGTTTTAGTGATGGATTTAGCTGTGAAAATAACATGCTTGCAAATCATGTTTTTGAAAACTCCCAATCTTTTTTTACTTGCATTTATTATTTTAAAAATTGATTATTGAAAATTTGAAATTTAATATTATTCAAGCCCAATGACACTAAATTGAACCAAATGTGAACATAAAGTTTTCTAACACGAGCTGAGTTTGAATATAAAAAAAATCAAACAAGCTGAATTTGAACTTAGGCTAAGCCGCTAAGCTTTCCAACATTCAACTCATTTTCACCCCTAATTCTAATACAACTTTAAAAGGAAGAGGAAAAAAGTGGTAAGATGAGCTACTGCGTGCCTTTACTTTAAAATTAGCCCATAATCTCATTCTTTTTCGCTGATTTCTGCTGCGTTTTCTCTTTGTTATTGTTGTTTTTGGCCGTGTGGAGATCGGATACCTATCGGTTACCTACAGATAAGGTTTAAGAACTTATTTATTTATTTTTGGATAGAATACACAATTACTATTAGACTTTATGTGTTGTTCAGGATGAGAAATGAAATCTTGGCTGATGTAGCATGTGTGGATTCAAGATTTCGTTTACTTTACTTTTATAAATTGTGTTGCAAAATTTTATTCCGTTGTAAACCAATCTAATAAAGATATGTATGCAGGAGGTAATAATGCTTATATTCAAATAATTAAAGATATGTATGCAGGAGCTATTACTTGTGTTCAAACACAAGGTGGTTTGACCAAGTATTTTCCTATTTTGGTTGGATTACATCAATGATCAGCCTTAAGTCCATATCTTTCTGCTTTAGTCATGGATGTTCTCACTAGACATTTGCAAGAGGATATACATTGGTGTATGTTTTTTGCTTATGATATTCTTCTTGTTGATAAGACTAGAGAGGGAGTTGAAGGTAAACTCGAATTATGGAGGTCAACTTTAGAGTTAAAAGGTTTTCGCTTGAGTAGATCTAAAACTGAATATATGGAGTGTAATTTTAGTAGCAATAGACTTAGTGATGATGGTTTGGTCACATTAAACGGAGGCCTTCTGGTGACCCGGTTAGGAAAGTTGAGGTATTAGATTTAACTTATGTTAAGAAAGGTAGAGGTAGACCTAAAAAGACTTGGTTAGAAAATATTAGAAATGATCTTTCTTTATTAGACTTAAATGAGAATTTGACTTTTAACCGGATACAATGGTGAAAAAGGATTCATGTAGCCGACCCCATGTAGTGGGACAAAGGCTTGATGTTGTTTTTGTTGTTGTTGTAGTAAACCAATCTACAATCAAACGACTTCATGATCAGTGCATAATTAATAAAGGATATTTTATTTTTTTAATTCTCAAGAAAAATTTTCTATCCATTTATAGGAGGACGAGAAGTCTGTTGTAAGCTTAAGTTCATAAAATGGGCATTTACTATGACATAGATGATATCCTGCTAGAGGAAGAGGTATGCGTTAGCTCAGCGTCTTTCTGTATTGAAATTGACTTAGTAATTATATAGGTAGGATTCTATTGACATGAAATTATTTCTGTAGCCTATTTCAGTTGTTTTTCAAATAGGAGCAAGTGGAGTTGGTCTACTTGATCCTGGTTCAGAAACAAATAGTGTAAGCAAGAATAAGTTTTTTCCCCCTCAGCTCTCCCATCTTGCAAATCATCTTATGTCCTGAAGGTCAAGAATACTTGCATACTATTTGGTTCAGGTAGAAAGGAGTGCTAAAGTTACCCTTCCATTCTGGCTTGCTAATGAATTGTTCTTGAGACGAGCAGTATCCATCAATGTTCCTGCTTGTTTTAGCTTAGAGTAAGTTCTTTAGCTTGTTATTTGCTTTTGTAAAAATGATCAAAGCGTTGAGATTATGGTTTCGTTTGGGATGACTTTTTTACTGTTTCTTAAAACAGCTTTTTAGTATAAATTTTTTAATTTTTGTACTAAAAAATTGCTTTAAGAAGCAGTAAAAATGCCATCCCAAATGAAGCCTATAATCGAAGTGATCTGCTTTTACTACATCAAGCATGCACATTTTGGGAAGTGCTTGTGGCTTGAAGACGGGTTTGAAAACTGTCTTATCGATCAAATTTGTGGGCAGATGTTTTCTTAATGATAGAATTTGCAATTACTATTGGAATTTAGTTGTTGTTCAGGACAAGAAAGGAAATACAGGCCGATGCAGCGTGTGTGGATTTGAGATTTCGCTCCCCTTACTTCTATGAGTTGGGCTGCAAAATTTTGCCCCTGTAAGTAATCCAAATCTACCGATTACAATCAAATGGTTTTATGCTCAGTTCATAATTTTAAAGAAATTTTAATGATATCTTTCAATAAGTGGACAAGTCGAAAAAGAGGAGAGAAAGAAGAAATTAAAATAAAAATGTTTTCTTTTAAGTTTTTAATGAGTTGCTTCTTTGGCATGATTACATGTTCCAGATAATTGGGATGAGGCTGATGTTGATGATGATGAATAATTACATGCTCCTGCTGAATTTTTCTCATTCTATTCTTCAGTTTTGATAGGTTGGTTCTAATAGCATGATTCAATATCAGCTTTTGTAAAAAATATTTTGTATTTAACATCATTAAGCTTGCCGTAGTTTCCCTGATCCTTAGGCTTCGTTTGGGACAACTTTCTTCCTGCTTCTTAAAGCGGCTTTTTAGTACTAGAAAATTATTTTTAGAAGTAGTAATAAAGCCATCCCAAACGAAGCCTCAGTCTAGCAGTAGCTTAAGTCCCATTCTATTTTTGTTGAATTCACTTGGCTTTTTAATGTTACAGTTAATTAATATGCTTAAGTATATGAAGTATTTTTGTATGTTGTCTAACAATGTGAGCCTGGCATCCATACATGCAATTTTTTTTTTTTTTGTTTTTTTTCTTTTTTTCATATTTTAACGGCAAATTACATTCCCATTACTATATTTCTATTGAGAGAGTTGATTTTAACTTTCATTTCCTCGGGGTATTATTAGTATAAGAAGTACATTTTCAAAGCAACCGATGATTATTGACAGGGTTACAGACAAGAGCATCGGCCCCTTTTTGCAATATGCATTCACTAGTAGGTACACTGAGATACTAAGCAAATCACACAACATCACTGGAGCTAATCCCAAATTCTCATCCAAGCTCACAAAGGAAGAATCCCACTGTAAAGTTTCTGATCATCTTTTTAAATAACCACATGAAAATGCCTTTTTTATATGAAAATTGACGATACGACTTCTGCATTTTAAGTGTTTGAAGCTGCTCGGTCATCAATGATTTCATTCAAGAAATGGAGGGTTGGTGGATCGAGGTTGGAGAAGGCATCTATATTAGGGAGAAAAAGAAAGCCAACAACACCGACAGAATCCTCAACTCTGTAAGCTCTTTGCATTGTAAGTTATTGACTCCCAAATTAATGAACCATGCCATAATTACATTAGAAGATCAAGTTTTTATTTGTAAGTTATAATGATCAAAGGGCTTTAGCTGTCCAGACTATTGTTAATGATATTTTAAGTTATGATTTGCTCTCTATCATCTTTCATGTTGTACCAATGCAAAGTTTTTATATAATATGTATTTTTATTAGGATGAACGAAGCATTGCTTGTGTAATACTTCAAGATTCGAGTCCAATTTGTGTTTTTTTCTCTTGACATCTCAATCTTTATTTTGGTCTAACTCCTAATGGTTGCTGTGATTATCTTTTCAGATTTTTAATCATTCATTAAAGTTTTCAATCCCTTTCTATCAACTACTTGAGATAAAATAATAGAAACTGATTCTTTGAATATTATATCTATTGCATATCAGTATCCTATATTTTTAATAATAGATAATCTAAAGTAGTGTGCTTTTAATTCATCGGGCTTAGTTTGGTTGGTGGACGAGCTTGATTGGGAAACCTATGTTCGAATCCCCTCTCAAGTGGCTCGTCTCCTTTGAGGGCTACGATATTATGGGTTTGCTCCGTTGGGTTCTGTTCTTTTGACTCCTATGGGGTGGCAGGATAGATTCTCCTTAAAAAAAAAAAAAAAAAAACATTTTTATTAAATTAGGTATTAGTTTCAACTTTTCATGCTCTATTTTTCTTACTTCCTTAGAATCTTATAATAATTTGTCACCCTATTAGATACATAGTTATTGGCTTATTGCCCATTCAAAATGTCTCAAACAAATTTACTCTTTTGAACAGTTAGGTACAGAACGTTACCGATGCCTAAACAGGCCCCCAAAAACAAATCTCCATACAAATTATATCAAGTTATATAATTAAAAATTATTAAATTTATTTTACATTTAAAAATTTCTATTATAATAATTTTTAAAATAATTTACATAATATTTTTTAATATAATATATCAATAAATAATTAATTTTAAGTTATTTTATTTTAAAATAAAGTTAGAATTTTTAAAATATATAAAATGTTTTTTTACTTTATCCATATTCAAAAAATAACATTAATATTTTCCCCCTAAAAAAAATAAAAGAGAGAAGATAGGAGAAAAAAAATAAAAAAAAAAGAAAAATAACTGATTGGGTGAGCGTCAAAATGAGAATGTTATGATTTTATTAAAAAAAAAACAAGTTCCTCGTGGCAATTAGAGAAGTCACGTTCTATTTATCCCTTATCATTTCAATTGTTCAACAGCGGGACGGTTGCAGGGGAAGGAGGTTCAGCAAAGCTGCATTTTTTCCTCTCCCTGTTCCCTGTCGTCCGCTTCTTCTCCTGTAATCAGGAAATGGGAATGCTATCGATCGGATTTCTGAACTTGGCTGAGTTGCTACTCAGTTCGGTTGTCCATCTTCTCTTCGGATTTTATGTCTTCAGCACGGCGGTGGCCTCCGACCTATCAAAGTGTTTCTCTGGTGGCGGATTCCGTCCGTTTTCTCATCTGAATGTGGTGGTGAAAGAGGAGTATTCGAAGAAGGGGGAGATGGCGTCTATGGATGTTTCTTACCCTCCGCCGACGCCGCCGATTGTTCTGGTTCACGGGATCTTTGGATTTGGGAAAGGGGTGATTAATTATGAGAACATTTGAATCTAACTTCAAGGTTTTGATATGAGATGGTCAAGTTATATCCTTCTGATGTTTGAGTTGCAGAGGCTCGGCGGACTCTCCTATTTCGCCGGTGCAGAGAAGAAGGATGACCGGGTTCTCGTTCCCGATTTGGGATCTTTGACTAGCATTCATGACA